AGGGAAATCCATCGTCGGATCCAAGAATGACGCTTATGAAGCGATTTTTTCTCTCTTCTGTTGCATTTGCCATGTTTGAACGCTCAGTACGTTAAAATGGAGTGTATGCCATCGTTTTGGGGTTGCATCGGCTGGACGAATAAATCACATAGGCTTTTAGTTCTCTTAATTTTAATTACCATTTAAGTGCAATGTCTTCCATATATTTTCACTATACACTCCAGTTTGAGATAGTAAAGTTGGTGAAGAGTGACAGATTGAATCTACAGTTGACAAAAAGCTTTACGCTATAAACTACACTGGAAAGCATGACTTGAATCAGGTTAAGTACATTTTATATGCAAAACTTTTATTATAATTTACATGAACACGACGGATTTTTGGCTATAAATTCAATAAACTTGCATTTTTTGACAAATTTAACCCTTAGACTTAGTTTTGGCTGAAAGAAAGCAAATTTTTTCTTTATATGGAAAAATCTCAACATTTCATTGTAAATAATTTTTGATCTTTTTCATCTTTCTGGTTGAAGAATTAAATGAAAATTTGCAAACATAATTCGGATTTGAATCAAGTCATTCATATTTCAAGAAAATCGAATCAAACAATTCGAAACTCTACAATGAACGACAGATAGAGCATAAGAAAATTGAGAAAGAAAAGCATCAAATATGTACCATAAGAGAAAACCGTTCCATCAATTTCATCATACTTTCTTTGACTGAAATAAATATTTAAAGAGCAAGAATTCATTCAATTTTTCTGCATTACATTTTATACGAATATTAAATTAAATTTGACGATAGATAACTACAAGAACATAAAAAAATGCATCGAAAATTGTTGAAAGAGAAAAAAATTACTTTCTGTGCAAAAATCCGTTTGTCTACTAATATATTATCGTTCTTTTTGCAATCTTTCGACATATTATCTTAACAATAAAATTTAACAACGTCTACTGGTAACGGTGTTCTTATCAATTTCCATCCGACGATACGGTGTACTTTTTTATTATTACTGATGCAAAGACTATTTGCAATATTTTACAAGAGAATATTGCACATTTTGATGTTTAACTCGAGTGTTGGTTGTTGTTGTTTTTATTGATAGTTCTTATCGACGAATATCGACGGATTTCATCAATTTGTTATTTTTTAAAAATAACCAAAATATTTCATTTTGGAACTTGAGATTGCTATCGACTGACTTCTTACCATTATGCATAGGAGCTGAATGCTATCAGATTCTATGCCATCAGTATTGGCAACATTCTTTTACTATGGAAAAATATTTAAGAAAATTTTGGATATTATTTGATCGAAATATAGTTGAGCACATAATACAATATTATAAGTTGCATTGCAGTAAGAAATGCAATATTCCATCATTTTGGATTGATTGGTTGCATATTTCGATGCAAGTTTCAATGTTCTTCTTTGTTGTTGTGTTAAAAAATTGCATTTATATTAAATTAAAAATAATTTGCTGGTGAGAATATCAATGCGAATATATTTGCATGAATGACAAATGTTGACACTTTGAAAATGATTAAATTATGGGTTGTTCAATGAGGCAATGTTTTTTTTTTCTGGATCCATTGCGGTAAAGTTGAAAATGTTCAAGCTTTGAAATCGCTTCAAATGAATATTTCAATAGATAATTTATTTATATGCAATTTTATGCATTTGCAATAACAAAAACAAGAAGAAATATTGCAAACGAACATGAAATGCAATAAATTTCATATTCATGTTCTCGTACGCATTTCAAATAACATGAATATGCGAGTGGCAAAATGTACTCACATTGTCACACATACGACATTAGAATATCATCCACATAGAGAATTCATCAACGTTCCGTAATATGGTTAGTTTGTCTGATTGTTTCACATTTGGAAAGAGTACGGTACAAGCTGTGTTTGTGTGTATGTGTGCGGCAGATTGGAATCTATGTGTCTAAGTTTGCTCAAATGAATTGCCTGTAAAATTTTATTCGTTTGCAGAGAAACATCAAACAAAATTACACCAAGACCTGTACATTTGGTGCTGCAAACGACATAAATTAACATACATACATACATTGCATCCATTCGTTGTTCCAATATTGTTTTATTAACACTCAGATAAGAGCATTTTCCCCGATTGGAAACGGGTTGAACGGAACTCTATGTATTGGCTTAATTCTCCGTTACACATCGGGCCATTCGTTTTCCTTGAGTGCAAAACATGTCATTTCTTAAGGACATTTTAGCGCTTTGAATGTGTCATTCTGAATACATCTAATAATATGCATTTGTTACAAAATGACACCCTGAACTATGGCATTATTAAATAATTAAACGTATACGTATAAATGTATAATGTCAGAACATTTTCACAAGACAGACACTTCAACATCAACATCATTCGCTTTTCACTTATGGCCATTCTCTGAATATGAATGGATAGTTCGTTTGTTAGATTGCGAAATATGACCGGAGACGATGCATAAATTACATATTACATATTTAATAAAATTTAATTTTATTTGAAACATACAAGTGCATTTATACTCTTATCTCTGTTTTCTATTCTGCTTCTGTGAATTCGATTGTAGATGACAAAAGTGTGTTCAGGATGCAAAACTATATGCGTTTGTGTAGATATCTCGATTTTGACCAAAAACACTTTGAATGAGACCTTACTCAAAATCCGCACCATAACCGCCCAATGTTTGAACACTTCAAGTGCTTCAAAGTTTTGATTAGATTCACATTTGCTCTGCACCAAAAACACTTGTGACTAATGATTTTAATTTATGAATTATGGCCCGAAAACACACACACACTACTCAAACTATGCATAACATTTATGTTATCTAGCCATGGCTGCAGCTTTTGATCAAATCAATCCAAATTGCTATCCTGCTTACAGAAAATGCTTATTTCATTACACAATATCCAAATTCTTTCCACTTCTGACTGAACAGCCACTGAACAATTAATACTTCGATCAAAGCGATTACATAACACATTCTTATTGCCAACCAATGTGATTAAAGTTTCTAGTCGTATTGTTCTCAAGTGTTTGGTTATGCAAGACAAACGTAAATATAGCATGTAGTCTTGCAAGTTGAATAAATGTTTCTCGTGCAAGTTCGAAAGGAAAATCTGTTTTGCATAATGTATGAAATAAAATTCTTATTTTCTTCCATCATTTTTTGAAGAAAGATTTTAAAACGTTTAGTGTATTTTAAGGCGCTCTTTATTCTCAGTTATTTTCTATCTGGGGATTATCATAGAGTGTTGAGCTCAAACGAAGCAGACTCATTAATTCAGTCCAGTGGAAAAAACATGTATTTTTTTTTCTCCATCTTAATGTTTATAGATATGCTCACCGAATACGCTCATCAAACAAGTAAATACACAACGTATTTAGACACAAAGTTGCAAAGTAATGCATATGAATTGACTATGAGCTTATAATTTCTACTAGGAAATACTGTGCATGTTATTGTAACATTTTCTCGAAGTCTATATTACTTTTTTACGTGCCTTCCTTCTCTATTGCTGAACAAAAAAAAACTTATGATTTAACTCATGGAAAAATGTCTTTTTCACTCAATGAAGTTAAAGTAGAAAAGCAGATTGATTCAGTTGTCGCGCCACATAAATTTAATCCGATTCTATTTAACAGCTTCAGTATATATTGAAGATTTCTTATATCGATCAGTGAAAAATTATGTTATGTTGCAATTTTATTAAAACTATATAATGAGGTATAGTCAGTGTGGCATCTTTGAAAATGTACCATCGCGTATCAATGATTACACATCGGATGGTGTCCGATTTCAATCGGTTTGCCTTTAGCTGCAAAAGTATCACTTTCCAGATACAGAGTAGTAGTTTCTCTACATTTATCCTCTTTCTTGTACAACACCCAGATAAAGCGATAAATAAAATAAACACGTCCAAAAGCCGTAGAAACAATGTCATTCGAGAGAAGTGCGACGTGTCGATTGCATCGAAAATTCAATTATCCACTAATTACGGAGGATATCCGATTAAAAGTGGGAAAGAGGAAAATATAAACAATTACAAAAAAAGTTACTCGTTTTATTTCGGAATCTTGCATAAGCCATTGTTTCTAATTATTTGAACAAAAGTCGCCTTCATTTTCGTCGACGTTTCTCGGTTCTCTTGTTCTCTTTTTATCACACTGTCTCTCTCCTCGGACTAGTTTTATAATTGATAGATTAATTAGTTTAGTAGAATCTGTGAACCAAATCCAATTTTCTTTCACGTTGAATGCAGCGACTGCTTTCGATTCATCGCACAATGAGTGCGGAAAGAATTATTTTTTCTTTCTTTCTTTCTTTCGACCTATCTTCATCGTGGTGAGCACACTATTTTTTTCGCAATTTTTGTATTTGCCTTGGCGAAGAAAAGAACTTAGTTTATTTGTTTTCCATGAAAATGGAACAATTGATTTTAATTACCCCTTCGGTTGCAAGCACGTAAACACATTATGTGACATTCACACAGTGACAAAAAATATATATTTTCTGTAGCATACGGAAGCTTCGGTGCATTTTCCCTATAAAAAAAGCAGAGATCGCTCTATTTTGAATAGAAATGCAAAAATTGGATGGTGTGAATGTGAATTTGAAATTGGAACGGATGTCAATTTCTAGCGTCATACATTTTTTATTTAGCAACGGGTGCATTCGAATCAAAATGAAACAAAATTAAAAACTAGGATTCAATGTCGAATGTGATGCTGCCACGACCTGAATTTATTATTCTGAATGAATGAGTATGTAAATATCCGCCAAGAGTGCTGCTGCTGCTGTTGTTGTTGTTCTTAATTAAACATTTCCCGGTGTTACTTTGCTGCTTAAAACTTTGTTAGCACTACCGAAGCGTTTGTGAAGAACCTTTATGAATTTGATGGCATCAAAGACAAGAGAAGTTTTCATTTATTTTTGATGTTTTACCACGGTTTTCGTGTTGGATTCGTCCATTTTTTTCCCATATTTGTGGTCAATTTTTTTTCTTTTTTTGAGAGCATTTTTATTTAGCGAGCACTTTTTTGTCGATTAATTCAGCTGTAGGTATATGCAAGTTTCAAAGAAATAAGAGAAATAATCCTTTGCATTGCACAAACGTAATCAAATTTCTGGTGATTTATTTAATAGTCGACCATTTTGCAAAGCATTTCTGTTTCAATTTATACATTTTTTTGCCTATTTGTCTGTTTCGTTTTTTTGAGTTGTGGCAAAAGGTTGATGGATTTGATTGTTTTTATGTGTATTTTAGTGGAATTTAACGATTATTTTTATTTATGTTTTACTTGAACTCTTCATCCGGCCCAACCACTTCAAAATCTGCCCTTTTTTCCAAATTTAAAGCGATTTTATTTTATGTCGCTTTTATACTTTCAATTTTTATTTAAACACAGTGAACATCATGAGAGTTGATACGAAATTATTCATTCAATCTTTGAGCACACTATAAATATACTCGACACAATTTGAAACGTATTTATAAAGCGATGGTGGAATAAATAAAACCACTGAAGTCGCAATAGCTTTACAAAATCTGATTTTATGCCAAGCCTTTTATTTTGAATTCAAGTGTGTACAAACGCGAAATTCGTTATTTAAAACATAAAACCATCTTCATGAACATACGGTAAAATTGTGCATTGCAAAGTTTCATTGGAAATGAACATGATTTAGTACAGAAGAAAAATAATAACTCATATAATGTACAAGCTGTCAAATACAGTATTTTGTTAAACATTTACCTGACTGAATTTTGACTGTGAGTCCAAAATGTCGATGAACAATTTCATGCGATCGTCCATGATTTGAACGCCATTTCGTGGTTGCTGCAACAAATTTTGAACGGCTTCACGAATCGATCCGGGCGTCGTACTGCATGAGCTGTCCGCCGAATCGGAGAAGGAACTATTCATGGTGGTAATTTTCAGTTGATTCGATGAATGTCTCAGTGCTTCTGAACATTTTCGAAGATAGTCGATTGTTTCCATGGAATGTGAATTATTCGTCATTTGACAGAATTTATCTAATATTTGATTAAAATCCATGATTTCCTCATTCATTCTACCACCAGTATTGACTGTGGTCTTCTGTGGTGGAATATTTTTTCGTGGACTTACTGCAGCCAGTGCTTCTAAATCCTCATTCATGATGCGTAAATTATCCGAAAGTTTCGAGAAACTTTCGTTCACGTTTGTACTCATATTATTATATTGATTGAAGTTTGGCGTTGATTTTGATCTGGAGTGTTCCATTTTCTCTTTGAATTTGCTGAAACGATCGGCTGCACTACTTAAATCAGATTGATCCTCTTCGGGCAATTGATTCGATCGTATGGCATCCAAAAATTGACGCAATTGATCGGATGGAGTTTTGGCTTCGGTCACCGTTTTCGATGAAATTCCGTGGCTTTCACTTTTTGTTTTCGGGAACGGCACCTTTTGTGATTGATTTATGGACGAAGAGGAACTTGATATAGGGGCTGGCGGTGGTGGTTCGACATGTTCGATTTCATTCATTGTGTGTCGCACACTGTCCAAAAATAGGCGCAAATTTTTCGACGATACGGCTATGTCATCGACTTGGCCGATTGGCGATGCCGTACTCTTTTGAGGCGATGACATATCGAATTGGCGATTTTTTTGCATCTGCTGTTGACGCTTCATTTCGGACAGAATTTTTGCTTGCTCTGAATATTTTCGAACACTTTCTGTTATCGAACGCAATTGTTCGGAATACATACGCAACTGATTTTCCAAGTAATTTTGATCTGGCAATGTGCCGTACGCAAACGATACTGGACGATCGGCTTTACGTCTTGTCATTGTATTGCTATCACTTACATTCTGATTACCACTAAATTTACTATTACTAGGGTTTGTGTTCGTTGTTTGCCGATTCAATTGACCATGAAACGTGATCGATTGACGCATTCCACTGGCTGATGCGGTCGACACAGATCGTTGTTGAAACGACGAACATGTGGGCGGATACTGATCTGAGTTTGGACTGTTTTTTTGTATTTGTATTTGTTGCATTTGCTGCGTAAAGCGACGACTTGGTGGAATCGGTGGTGGTCGTGAATTGTTCATAGCAGCCAACGTATTGAAACTGTAAAATGATTTTTTTTTTCATTGATTGTGTTATACGGTTAGCATTGAAATGGTTGGAATATACAAGAAGGAACTCATCATTTAAAATACCGATTTAAATCAATTTCACTTTTGATTTTAATGAGCTTTTTGAAGGATGTGTATTTTTAATTGAATCGATGCCTTCGTATATATTCGGCCCTATTGCTAGCACAAAGTAAATTCTATTTACCTAGCTCGGTCTAAGCTGCGAGGACGAGCGGGCACACCACTATTATTATTAACAGTCGATGGCGTTGATTTGTTTGCATTATCAGCTGAAATGCTCAACAATACTGTTGACGGTACAGTGCGTGGTATGCTGTGGGAGCGCCTTTGAACTATTGGAGGCGGCTGTTGTCGAGTTTGCACCGACTGTGGATTATTATTGGGAGCATTGTTAATGCATGTAACATTAGTCGTGGTTGTTACAGACGGTGGTGAATACAATGAAAACTCCTGTGTTGCCTGTTGTCGATTAGTTGTTAACCGAGATGGGCTATTTATAAAGTGACCGTATGATACATGTGTCGACGCTTGTTGTGCATACTCATTATTTTGCGGTTGATTGAACACTTTTTGTGCCATGGCATTTTGGTTACCATTATTCACATTGTTCAGTGTGTTCATTGAGCTTTTCATTGCACCATTGTTCGATACGGGATGATTGGTATTTGGGACAGAGTGGCTGTTGCTGTACGTCATCGTTGTAGTGGCTGTTCGAGACGAAATAACTCCTGCCGTTATCAAACTGGTCAATTCTTCTTTGTTTTGATTCAAAACCGATAGACGAGCGGCAAATGGGCTCGATGAGCACGAAAGCGATGCAGGAGATAAAACGCCAGCTATGCTATGGGGCCGCTTTGGACGGTTACGTAACACATTGTTGTCAATATCGTTGATTCGACCATAATCACTGCTACCGTTTTGTTTTTCATTGCTACCAGATGCACCATAATTTTTCAATTGCTGGCTTTTTATCACATTGCTTAGCTGAGATGTAGACGCCGATTGAGGCATACTGTTTGTGCTTGAACTGGCACCGCTGCTATTGTAGAATGGCCCATCAATATTACGATTAACCATTGTCTGTTCCAGCGATGATGATGTTGCTGATGACGATAATGATGTCGACGAAACCGCGAAATGTGTTACGAACGGATTATTCAAATGCAACGATATGTTTTTTTCATCAATGTACAATTCGTTGGATGTGACATTTTTCAGTGAAGATAATCCATCGACACGCCGCGACAGACCAAAACTATTTGTTTTTTCATCATCATCAAAATCACCATCGAGACCGTTGCCACTGAATTTTTTCGGATATGGTTTCGTTTGATCTAATGCTGTTTTATTGTTATTACTATTATTATTCCCGTTAACAAAACCATTTGCCGAATTTTGCCAGCCACATTGCTCTGACTGGCTTAAACTGATCGTCTTTGTCTTTGTCTGGTTTATTGATGATGCCGTTGATATATTTCCAGCAGCTACACCACTCACTGTACCCGAATTATCCATTCGAACAGTATCACCATTATTGTCAAAATTAATTCGAGGATTTCCATTTTGCAAATGTGTCGTTGATTTCATATTTGATTATAAATTCACTGTCGCAATTATCTCTTATCGAAGAAACAGAACAGTACTGTGGCAATCTGTCGATCTGCTTCATAAATACGGAATTTTCTTTAACAATTTCATCGAAATCATAATCATTTTTGTCTGCTTTTCACAGTTGTCTGGAATATTTTTTTTATCAATTGAATCGTTTTTTTCGGAGATTTGAAATTTCAATAGATTAATTGAATTACATGGAATGCAAATATGTTTTCAGGTCATATTCATACTTTCATTAAAAATAAATCATAAACCATTTGAATTCACAAATATTACTTCTTGTCGCATGTATGTGTTTTGTATCGCTTTTGGCACGGTGCAATGCACATAAATCATATGTTTTGCATGTATAAAAAAATAAAGGATAAAATATACAATCTTAATTAAATATTTTTTTTTAACCAAACAGAAATTGTGTGCTTTTAATAACAAGCAAACTGAAAACAGGATTTTTTCGTGTCCACTTTTAACTGTATGAATACCGCAGGTGCTTTTACATTGTAAACTAGATTTATTTTTATTAATTTTAATATTTAACACACCGAATATGTTGCCCTATCTCTCTCACACACATACAAATCCATACATGGATGGTTTATGCTCGAACATTATCGGCCTTTGCCGACATCACACACTATTTTTACGAATATTTTCCTTTGGATATTTTTTTTGACCGAAAAAATCCTGAACTGCCTCTTTTTTTAAATTATAACCACAAGTCAATGCTGTGTGGCTGTTGTGTTATTTTTAATTAAATCATAATGAGAATAAATTGTAGCATATTAAAATTTATTGAATTCAGAGCCGCGAACGATTCACACAGGCTGAATGCATGTGTGCTTGGCAAAGTGATTGATAGCTTTAATGGTGTCCATTGTGACCGATACAAAAAAGGACAAAAATTGTTGCGAAAAAATTGAGTTGGCTAATATAAAATATGCATTGTTCCTAGTTGACGTTAAATTAGCATCATTTTTCGATGGACGCTTGAAAATTAAAAAAATTACTTCTCTTCAAAAGTCAATTTTCGAATGTTCATTATTGATTTTAGAAGCTGATTGAAAATATGATTTTACAGAGTTTAATGAAAAAACATTTAAGAAAAAACTGGTCTCTGAAAAAAAAAAAATCTTCAAATTGCTTGATTTTTATGGTTGAACGTAGATTGATGTATCGTGGTGAATAGTATGAATGCGACACATATGCAATTCCCTTTAGTAATTCAAATAACCATTGAAATGTCGTTTTGTTGCAAAATACCGTTTTTCTTTGAAATAAACATACATGTTCATTCCGTTTGTCTATTTGCCGAAAAAAATGTGTAGTAAAAAAATATCAGTCGATACATTTCGTTTTGTCGTTTTGCAATTCATCAAAGAAAAAACAACTGAAACCCGTCTATTATTAATTAAAAAAAAAACAAGAACAATATGTACGATCACAACTTTAAAAAATTCTAATTACACAGTTCTCTGTTTTAATGCACAACCGATTAACCTTATCTTGATATGTAGGTTTCATGTTCTTTGTGTTCCTATTTAAGATGCGTTTGCATCATTCCACAATCAAAACACATTCCCATTTTCGTATTCAGTTCGTTTCGGCTAAAAAGTGTTTGTTTTTTTTGTTTCCACTAGCTTCGTCGTTGTTTGCGTTACAAAATGTTTCGATTTCAATGGCTCGGTTTCTATGGCTCTTCCTGTTATCTAACGTTTTAATTTTTTATTCACATGATATTGACGGAATTTAAACGGAAAGATAGCAGAAATGATGTTGCTTAAAGCGTATCAACGCTATAACTGGTCCACTTGTCCATTTACAATCTCAGTTGAAGTCGGTTTTTCAGTTTGAGCGGCTGAGAATTGTCGGAGTTTTCCACTCACATCATTTTCGCTCATGTTGCGCCACTCTGCAAACATCCGAAATCATGCACCATCTGTATTGAGTGAGAAATGGGATCCGTTGGTTTTCTCAACTGATGCAGTCGTCGAATGAGTGAAAAAAAACGGTGTTTCCTTAGAATCGTGAGTGTAAATGAATGGAAATGGAGAAGTGTGCACATTTCAGCATAAAATTTACTTTCTTTTCGGTTACCATTGTTTTGCAAAACAATCCGATATATGCAATGGAATAAACACAGTAGACGAACATAAATGTATTTGTATTTAAAATTCTACGCACGCATTCACTTCGATCGGATGTAAACGATAAAGTAAAACATCTGTTTTGTTCGTTACAACTCTTGAAAGGAGAACAGCGAAACGAAACAATCACTGTTATAGTTCTAATTGCTTTTGAAATACCGACTCGCTCTTGAATACTTTCCACTTTCGGCGAATTTGAAATAAGATTTTTTCTTCGGCCAATATTAAAATAAACACTACATTAAAAGGTTGAATATGGATGATATTTCATATTTTTGAGTACGTGTTTTGCTTCCATTTCATCTCATTTTGATATAACCATAAACACAAGCATAAACAATATCGTTATTTCACCTTTCATTTCACACGCCACATAATAACAAGTGTATTACTGTCCCACTCAATTATCTATCAGTTGCTAACAAACTTACGTCCTTCATGGTGAATTGTGGTCGATTGGACACGTTGCCATTTTCAAGCGAAACATTCTTTTCTTTTCATCGAGATAATGTTATGCAGACACCACCTTGGATTCTGAAGTGTCAATTTGATCTTCACTAAATTATACAGTCTTTATAAAAGCCAAAATCATTAAGCACATAAACTTTGGAAAGTTCTTTTGGTTTCACAACAGAAAGCTTAGAAGTACTTCTGTGGGTGACATTTCATAATGTAATTCGTTTCACACAAGAATTCTTTGGCAATTCAAGCGAATGAGAGAATTAACTGGATTTTTCATAAGACGAAATAACTTGTGATAAAGTTTTGTTTTAACACCACAACAACAAACACAAATGTGAAAATATAGTGGAAATTCACTTGGTTGATTTTTACTAAACAGTAAACATCAAACAAAAAAAGTTACAAAGGAAACCGCAAACATAATGTCACTGAAGAAATCCTTGAACACAAAGACCAACAGTAAATGTCTTACAATAAAACAATACAATATGAAAACCACTTTAAGAAGAAGAAGAAGAAAATTCGGACAACTACACGAATGGCTTATTTCGACTGTCCATGGCACATGTTGAAAGTTTTTTTCTTTCGTCAACATTGGTATTCGAAAGAAACGTATAAATTTGCATTAATAAACAGCACATTTATGTCGTTCTGTAGTTAACTTTGATCATGTAATAAAACTGTTTTGAAGATCCTGTCTCGAATCAAATTTATGAGCATTATATAACAGTTTTATTGGAATAAAAATTAATTTAGTATTCTTCAAAATAAATGTATGCATACATTTTAATGTCGATCCGTAGATTGGCTCACAATTTGAATCAAATAAAATCAAACATCATGTTCATTGTTGTGAGCCATTGATTTCGATTCTTTTGATCTTATGAATGGATGCATGCCATAATATGCATCGCGCATCTAAAGTGAAAACAAAGTGCAATGTCCTTAATTGACAATATAAATAATTTAACCAAAGCGGATAAAATGGCACGTTTGCGTTTTGGTCGCAAATAACAAGAACCAATGCCAATTTCAATGTGTATCGTAGATGGTTGTATACGTGCATAAATGTATGCATTTTAATGAACACAGGACATTATATCCTTTTGAATACGCATTTATATTTGTACTTAATAAACATCAATTAATGATAATTTCATTTAATCCACCTTGTGCGGTTCCTAATGAACGCCGTTCAACAAATAAATGCTTTGTGGTTGTGTAAATAGTGAAGATTTTGTGTGGCTTCAAGCTGTTGGTGCCGTCATCTCTGTTCATTTAAAATCACAATATTGAACGAATGCCCATATGATCTTTCTCCCGTTTGGTTTTGAAAACATGTCATAGATTCAGGTGAGCGAAACAATTTGAATGTAAATGGTCGTTATAATGTTGGCATGAGATTTTGGTTATGGATAAAACTTGCATTATGTACAAAACCAACTGCTAAGACTCAAATTCGAATGTATTTTATCTAACTCACCACCATCGCACCGGATTATTTTACATTGCCATCAAATCACAGTGACAAAGAGATGAGATGAGAGAATTACAAAATGTTTCATGGTTTTCGATGCACCGGATTTCTCATGGTGTACGAGCATATGTTTCGACAGTAAATTTTAAAGCTTGAAAGACACGAACGAAAAACGCTTTTGGCTACTCGCTTACCGGCACCAAAGCCATTCAACCAACAATTGCAATGCAAGTCTCGAAGTGTCGACAACCGATTTTCTGGATCTACTCTATTTATCACTTTCAAAAGTGCATTGTGTTTCGACACTGACCGCCACACAAAATACACACACACACTGTGATGTCTATTTAATGCTACAAGCGATTTTTCCAAACATATTTTTAAGTCGTCAAAGTGCCGGAAAATGTTCTTGCTGTGATTGCACGTCACACCAAATTAGTGTAATTGAATGTCATTGGCTGTTAGATGCTGCAGCGTTGATAAGTTTCGTTTTACATTACGTGTGTGGACAGATATTGACATTCATTTTTGTCTGCAAGAATGGAGCTGCAAAATTCACACCAAATCATCGTATATCATTATCGATATCAATCACTTTTGCTTTCTTTTCACTCAACCAAAAAAATGTGTCCATTGTTTTGTGGCTCTTTTGTGTCCTTTTTATGCATTTTACACTAGATTTTACATTTTATTATTTCAATTGTTTTTGCCGTCATTGTTAAATTTAATGTGTGATATTTTGCATTGAATGTGTCAGATGCACCATCGATTAATTAAAAACTTTCAAAATTACTGACACCCAAAATAATTTGAACTCATTATATCATATATATCGGATAATAACTATCAGTCATGTGTATACCATAAAATGCGAGTGAGATTTTCAATAGTTATGAGATGATTAATATTCATATATCATCGGTGAATTGAATCATTTTCAAAGCTACAGTTTTACGTAGTAACATTTCAACTGCATGCAATAAGTGGAAAACTTTTACTGTTTACATTTATAAAATAAATGGATAAAAATTGGGATAAAAAGTTTCGAGGCGTTCTCCATTGCAAATGGAGTAAAAGTTGGCCAATCGACTTTTCAAGTTGAGTGAAAAGGAAATTGTACAAGGATAATGTAAACCTGTCAACGGTATTTTTGTCTTCATAGATCCATTTTAAATAAGTCGTGATTCATAAAAGGAAATCCCCAAAGAATAAAAATGAAAAAAACATACCTTTAAAATCAGCGGATTCCGTTCAATCTCCTGTTCAGCATTTTCACACAAGGATTCAGCTTCACTCAACCAAGCCAGAAACTATATTGCAACACAGATTGATATCACATTGTATTCATAGTACATTAACGTTGCTAATTATCACAGATGATATTGATTGACGCAAAAAAAAGATGCCACTTACTTGGTCCATTGAACGATCGAAAAGTTGAAGACTATGTACGGCTGTCTGCAGTAATTTGCCGCGATTGATAACCACATTGTTCAAATTATTGTATCTGTTGACAAAGTGAAAAGAAGTGTTTTGTAATGACAGCCCCGTTGTTCATCTAATTGATATTAATTTCATCGATAATAAGATAAATAATGATGTTTACGTTACCTTATATTGACCGCCTCAGTCATTCGTTTTATTCGTGATGTATCGTCCGTCGGGTATACGGCAATTAATTTCTGTGTTAGTTGATTAAATAACTCAACATGGTATTTGTATTGGTGTAGTTCAGCGTGGAAAGACTGCGAATAAAAATAAATCACAAAAATAAACGTCTGCCATAATTAAATCAAATTGAATCATTACCTTTTGCTCTTTTTGCTGTGCTTCCAATACATCAGCGGTGGTTGCAATTTTTCCCATTTGCTCAAATCGACTTTCCATACGTTGTAGCCATTTCTCGATTTCAAGACGTTTTGCCTCGTAACTGAAACAGAAACAGAAACAAGCAAAACACGATTTCAATTTGGTTTCTATTTACTCTAGTAATAATGATGCCTCGTATATTTACCGTTGAGAATCGCCAAGCATGTTGGTGAGTTGAGACTTTCGTTGTAAAACACTTTGCGACGTTTCATCCCAGTGTTCCCGCAATCGATTTACTAAAACGAACGACGAAAATAAAAAAACATATGAACAACATCGTTTAAATTTTGTTTGAAATGTGAACACAGCACAAGAAAAGAAAATCAGTTGGGAATTCTTGTAAATGAAAATGAGTTGTAAAAGAAAAGTAATTGGCTATATAAAATCAAATAAAATCCATAAATATGCCTTGAATGTAAGCCCATTGTGTTTTACCGGGATTATTGTTTTGTGTTTGTGTCATTTGATTTTCATCGTGCGATGAACGTCGCCTTAATCGGATATCATCGCGTGATAAAGTAGTGGGACCGACAATTGGATTCGTTACATTTTGACGCAGTTGGTCGACCACTTCCTGTTGTGAATGAGAGCGATTGTGATGACGCGAATATTGTAATTCAAGTGGCAAACTTCGGTCCAATGATTTCATATGATTTTCAAAAGGTCTTTGACCTCCATTCGTATTTCCGGAGTTTGCTTCGAAATTGCGCATACTATTGTTCAAATGCATTTGATCAAGTCGCATTTGTTCCATGCTGAAACCCCGTTCCATTGAGCGCATATTTTTATTAAGAGCCAATCGCATCGATTCAATAACACTCATATTTTGGGATGATGTGGTTGCAATATTATTTCCGCTGCCATCGAGTGATGTGGCCGAACCGCCAATATTTCGCTTAAATTCCACTGGATTAAAATTTCGTTTGCCATTTTGTGCCTGAGCCGCTGCTTCCAATGACCGTATATTCATTTGCTCTTGCATGGCACGTTCCATATTTCTCAAGCCACTTTCGATGCCTCTTAGTGCATCTTCCGAGCTAAAGTCTTCGATGGGTGAAATTTCCTTTTTAACCGGTGTTGGGGTGGCATTCTTCGACGAAGCCGATGAGGATGATGTCGTTGTTGTCGTCGACATCGTTGTTGCATTTCGCGGTGCAATCGATAATTGTGGCGAATTATTAGCGCTACTTTGATTGGATCGTTGATTAAGTTGCGGTGAATTCCGTAGATTAGTGAATGGATTAGTTGATGCGATTGTCGTATGGGGTAAATTTGCCGGGGGTCGATCGAATTTATTTGTCATTTGTGGCGTTGGGGGAACGGGTCGTAAAACAACTGGTTTATCTTTTAATTTTGGAGCCGGCAACGGTGAGTTTTGTGCGCTATGTGGTTTTTGTGGCAGCGGGGGCGGCTGTCTACTAACCACATCATCACCAATATCAATCGGTTTCTTGAGACTATTCCGTTTTGGAGGAATTTCTGGTGGTTTTTTTGTGAGGACACTGTCACCTCTTGCCGGAACTTGTGGTGGTGCCGACTTTTTCAGTGCCGCAGCTGCTGATGTTGTCGAATTTTCACCACTTATTGATACTGAATTCAATTTTTGGCGAAACATTATTTGTTGAGCACGAAGAGCTGCTTGTGCGGCAATGCCTTGATTGGCTTTCATTACTTCGGCAGATACTTTGGGTTTTTCTTCCTTTTCTGCCATTTTGATAAGATATATAATTCACTGCACTACGTATTGGATTGATTTTCTTTATGTGGATAACGTTATACTTAATGATTTAGTACTTTTGTATGCTAAACCGATGATTGATATGCAAAAAAACATAAATTTCGATATGTTGATTACTACCAAAATCACAAACAATCTTTGTTTAGTATGTATCAACAAAAATTCACAAAAAAAAACAATACAATAATATAAGTTTTTATTCGTTGTTGATTTTTTTTTAATTTTTTCTCCGTTTTACGGTATTCACAGTATGTTGAATAAATTGTTAGCAATTACACTTGATATGCATGTCCAATATTCTGTGTTATATTTCTTAAATTCAAATTATATTGAGTTTAATTATTATTGTCTTATTATTATGATTAATTTCGTTTGGTATTCAAGGAATTGCAAACATGCCTTTACAGACGTTTAGGTTCCAATATTATTATTAATATTATTAGATACTATCTATGATTTAGATATTTTATTTGATTATCGTGAAAAAGTGGAAACGTAATATTTTGTTTTTAGAAAAAGTTAATTTTAACGTGTGCGCTTAATTATAATCAAGAACTCGGAATGAATTCATAATTATTGGAATGATTGTCACTGACACATGAAAAGGGTACAAATGGCTATCTTTAATTGTTTTATCGATTTCACTGAGTTTTTGTGCGAAAAAAACTTTTTTCTATGTTTCAGTCTTGTTCAATATATCCTGCGTACTGTGTATGTCTGTTTGATTGATTTGGGTTTGTGAGTGGAGTTTTAATGGTTTTTATTGCTTTTTTTCGATCACCTGTAGTTATTTCATTTTATTTGTGCACCAATTTCTCAATGAAAAATGGAATTCGTTTCTAATTAGTAGTTGCACACATTACGGATAGAAATAATGAAACTGAGCAGAGAAACAGAGTTGAATGTCCTTTTCAAGACTCGCGATAATACTGTTCAGTTAAAGAGTTTCATCAAAGGGAATTATTGCATTGAATAGTGCGCTGTTACGATATATGTTCTTTTCAAACACATTTAAACCACAATGAATTGTTTCGGAGAGCCATTCATCAATTTTTCAAAAATTGCATAAAGCGTTGCTTAACGATGGCGTACGTTTGTTTCAAAGTGTTTGCATCGCTGCATTTATTCACCGGTTTCACTGTTGATATTGTTTTAGTTTTTTTTCTTTTCACAAAAATTTTACACAATTGAGCTTTGGTCGTAAAGGGAGGCGAATACAAACAAACATTCGCCGTACTCCTGCCACTTGTACATATCATATGTTTTCATCGTATTCGAAGTTTTGATTATTGTCGTCAAACATGCACACCAGCCGTCCGACCGTTCTATTTTATCTTGATTTGTCGCAACGCGATTCGATTCGTGAATTTCCCTTGCGTTGCCTTGCGTAAAACGTTGCCCATGTGAATGTGTTGGTGTGCGTCTTACTTGCGCCGACTTTTTTTTTCACTATGAAATTTTGTGCAACAGAGCGGATCGATACACGGAAGCAGCAAAAGTCAACACGAATACGCAAAACGCAATGGTCGATTCGATTCTCTTGCACTCACACACTCTCAACACTTGGTTTGTAGTAATTTTACGGATTCGGGGAGATATCTTATCTCGTTCATTGCAAATGGCAAAAAATCCAACGAATGAAAGTCTATATCCATTAGTAGATTAGCACTATTAAACTATTTCACTTCGTTTTTTTATAGATACACATGGAAAATTCAATACATAAAATTGAATATTGATCGAATTATTCAGCCAAATTCTCCCGTATTTTTTGCCACTTTGCAATGATTTGTTATGATGATTGTTGGTGATACATGTATAAAGGTGACAGACTACTCCTTAGCTGCAAGTGTTTTTTATTGCAGTTGCTATCGAAACGTAATGCTCTTAATGTTCAGTTGAGAATAGAATTAAATTCATTTTTTTTAATCTTTCTAGAAGATTTTTAGATTAGAAATTCACTTAAACAGAACAACTTGAATGAAAAAATGAATGTTTTCTTATTAAACAACATCACGTTTACACTTTTCTTATATTCGAACAATTTTTTTAAAAGAATTTCCATTGAAAAGAAATTATTTCGATGAAACGTTGAATTGAATTTACATGTTTCTTATTTGAAATTAAATCCAGCAATAAAAACAAGTGAAAATCATTCAATTCAGTGATTGAACACTTCGAATTGGAAAAAGTCTCAAAAAATGTAATCAGTTGTTGTGTTATGTCTCACCAAACAGCTTTCACCAACTGCTGGCACTCGAATTTTCCAACAATGCGCGTATCACGAATTTTTATCGTATAGCGGTATGTTTCATGTGCGGAGATGCTTACCGTATGCGTGAGCATTGATGTGCCGATGCAATTGTATTCGAAATAGTATTCGCTCCAGTCAAATGGAAATTCAGTCGGCATTTTGGGGTTGTATTTATGGTGCGGTGGTTGTGCGATGATGCGGAATACGACGCGTCAAACAAAAGATACACATCGTGTGTATTGGTGTGGGTGAAATGTTACTCATTCACGAACGAACGAAAACAAACACAATGACATTTATGTAGTATTTCATTGTCGATAATCAAAACAAAGCCGCTAACTAAATATGGGGAGTAATTCACGGTGTGGCATGAACGGCATTTCCAATGGTTGTTTCCACCGCTTTTCTTACGTTGCTATTGCTTTCTTCGCAATGAATCGCACACTTTTACCGAACGCATGCCAGCAGGAGCGATTCCATGTTACCAAATAGCTTTTCTCTCTTTCGACCCGAACCGAACACATTCGAAACATGTGTACCATTCTTATGTATATTTCTTAAGACGAAAATGTATGTACTATTGACGGATGTAAGAAGATAAAAAAAGGGAAAATCACAACGAAAGATTTGAAGTACAAAACATATTTGGCACATTTGCGTTTGAACAACCAACTGTGCAGCTCATTGAAATGGAGAACGATGCCTATACAAGCACAAATTGTGAATACGAAAACGCGAGAACGGCAATCGTTTATCCATCTTAATTTAATTTTATTATTATTCGCATTCTTATTACGCTCTTATAAATATGCGGTCCTGTTTGTATTTGTCGACTTGAAATGTCGGTATCAAATAAAATGAGAGAGAGAGTCATATCTCCCGCAGACAATGAAGCAATTTTATGGTGATACGATTTTCAAATAGGAAATTCCCATAATTCGAAAATAAGTTAAATGCTTACGGTATAGTTTTCAACACCAAGCACCACTTGAACAAGTTTGGCCTAGTAAGCCAACTAAAGGAGTGTCATTTCAGGTCTGAAACGTTATATATTTATGCCGCAAACATAACAAATGTCCGATGCGGATAAAGAATTTAAGAAGGGGAAAACCAAAATGATTACTTATGCATATTTAAAAAATAATTAGCTTTAAAACAACATCATTTTTTGGGTCATATAACGATTAGATCCTAACTACAGCATAGGTATAAAATTGCAAAGTCACATTGCCAGCATTAATTTC